AGTAGACGCTGCGTTTTCCCGTCGCATATACACCGTGCCGAGAAGAAACTATCAATGCGGCTCCCGAGAAGGGAGTCGTGGACTCTGTGGGGGGAGGCTCGACATCACCCATGTCCCCAGATAGTGACGAGCATAGTGCGCGGGAACATCCTAACGCGGCACATGCTCAAGCACCCGAGCGAGTTAAGGTCTGTAGTGGCGCCAGCCGCTGCAACGCCGAGAGGCCGCCTCCATCATTGGGGGTGTCTGCACGCGATCCTCTGGGTGATGTCGTAGCAGAACATTCATCGACACCCACCGCTCAGAAACACGAACATTAATGGGGTGGAGAAAACAAGAAGAAAAAAGGCAATGACAAAACAGGGCGATCACATCTATCGTAAGAGCACTGCAACGCACAGTGAGTTATACTCAAGTCTAAAGTTATATCATTGTACACGTAGCTCACCTCTTCAGAGTCCAGGTCCCATTCCGTAATAATGGGGCCAGACCTCGCCATCCAAGCACCGACTCGGGCGCCTAATGAAATGAAATGGAAGGTGAGACGGTAGGATGCCTCGTCCTTGCCGCCACGTGGGACGCATGCTCACAGTGCCAGTCTCTCAGCTGCGGCTGCAGCGAGATGAATGGCAGCAACTTCCCAGGCTTTCGCAGCAACGCGACGGTCATGCCATGGCCCGCGTAAAGCACAGCGGCGAAGACACACGCCCTCAAGGGTGGCACAGTCGTCCGCCTCATCATTCCATGCCTGCTGGAGCGCTGGCGCAGCGCCGCTCCAAGGGACCCATTTCGGAGGCCGCTTCTCGTGGCTGCGGACCCAATGCAGGATCGTTGCCACACCGAAGCGCAGCAGCTGAGCCCGCTTGGCCCTGATCTCACACACGAGGCCATGCATGGCACAGTCGGTGCCTTCACCTGTGATGGCTCGGATGGCCGCCTCACAGTCAGAAAGCAAATGCCCGCATTTCAAAGGCTGAGTGCACGCACAAAGCACCATGCCAAGGGCAAACCACACAACGTGCAGTTCAGCCTTGTAGGAACACTGGTCCTCACCTGGCACAGGTACAGCAAAGCACTTGCGAAGCACAGGAAAGACTATGCTGGACGCGCCAATCCCGTGAAAACCGCCAGGGTTGCGAATCCACATTTTCCCCAACCCCAGCCCCCAGCCCACCCCCCCCCTCCCGCCCACCACCCCCAAACCGGCCAAGCCTGAACAGAAGAACGCGGCACCCAAATCCCACCCCAGCCCAGCCCCCAGCCTATCCAAGCCGGCCAGCGCCAATGGTTCCCAAAACAAAAACTTTCGGTCAAGACTCGGTCAAAGCTGGCTCAAAACTTTCCGTCAAAACGTTATTGGCACCCAGACCCTAGTCCAAACCCTTAACAATTTCTATGTAAGGGACCCTGACCCGACTCACCAGCCGGGCCCTGGGCTCGCATCACCCTTGGAGGAGAACTCCACAAAGCCGCCTGGGGTTCGGGTTCAGGGGTTTAGGGGTCTAAGGGTTTAGGGTTTAGGGAAGAACCTACGAGTACCTTTTTCAGGACTTGTTTCAGGAAATCATAAGACGGAAACCCTAAAAAGGTAGGTCCCTTGGGGTCAAGGTAGGGTTTGTGAGTGCTGGCTGAGATGAGACACCCTGAACCCAAAACCCTAAACCCAAGTACACGAGCATAAGAACTGAAGGTTGACAACTTTAACTTTAGCAAATAATACTAGGCAAACAGCATCAAGGTGGACGGAACCAAGTCCACCCAAACGATAAGTGGCATGTTTTTTTCGCAGCCTTATTCCATAGTAGTACTGCGCACTGGAAGTTTACAAGTTGAGAGTTTCAATGTTTGAAACTGTCAACTCGTAAGCTCCTATGCAGGGCTACATGGAAATTTTCTCTGAAACCCGAAGTAGTCGCCTTCTGATAAACACGGACCGCTACATAAGGTACCCCAACGTGAGAAGCCACATTTCAATTCAAGGCGGTTCGGATACTTGTGCCAGCGCGCTTCCGGACACGTGCACCCTCTGGGTACGGAGTATTCCTCAACCCTAAACCCCTAAGCCCTAAACCCTAAAACCCTAAGCCCTAAAGCCCCTAAACCCTAAAACCCCCCCAAAGCCCGAAGCTGCAGAACCCTGGAGCTTGCCCCCCCCTCCTCCAGATCCCAAAATACACTTGAAGCTTCGAGCCGTCAGTCACAAGTAAGGCATCAAATCAAGGAGGGAGTTTAAACAAAAATGCAGTCGCAACACTGCCTGCGATCCTCACGGCAACCTCTATGGGAAACACACACAAACATACACTGCCTCCGATCTTGCCCAGCTCCACCCCTTGGGGGCTGACCTGGGATTCGGACTTTCTGTGATCGGGTTTGGAATTTCGACTCACACACTCGTCCCTAAGCCCTACCTGTAGCCGGAGAGCCCTACCTTTTTAGGGTTCCTTATTATGGTTTCTATATATATATATATGTATATGTATATGTATATGTATATATATATATATACATATGTCCTTAAAAAGGTAGGTCTTTTCGATTACGCAGGCAGGCATGGTTTCAGAAGGTCCGGGCTTGCAACAGTGACATGGGCGAAGGCCAGTGCAGTTAGCAATCGGATTTAGGGCTCAGGGGCTGAGGGTTAATAACATAGGGGCCTTAATGAAGAGAATAGGGTTTGGGGTATGTTATACGATGACTATAGTAAGGAACCCCCCCCAAACTCTGTTCTAACTATTCAGGCCCCTATATTAGGGGCCTTAGGGTTCCGTCGAAGCTACCTCTGAAGCAGATCTCTGGCCAGAAACAGTCTCAAGGGCCCGCGTTTTCTCATGGCGTGATCTCTGCTGCAGGGGCCATGAGCCAAATCAAAGGCCAGCTGACTTGCATCTAGTTCTTGTCAAGGATCTGAAACGGGACAAACCTTAACGACCTATACACCCTAAACCCTAAACCCCTGCACCCTAAACATAAACCAAAGCCTAAACCCGGCTCCGATACGAGGACACGGCCGCACAGCCCTACGAGCAAAGGCTCAAACATATCACGAAAGTACCGGGTAACTGTTCAAAACCGCAGGGGGGATACTATCGCCCTAAACCCAAAAACTTCTAAATCTAAAGTAGTTGCTGGTAATTCTACGGGTTGTTTTGGGGGCTTTTGGTCGAAGCTTTAGAAGGCCGAGCTGCAAGGCCTTCGGAGCAGTAGGGTTTAGGGTTTAGGCCTTAGGGCTTTAGGATGTAGGATTTACGGTTGTAGGGTTTAGGGTTTGGGGTTTTTTTCCCTCCCACATGGGCTAAGGGTTTAGGGTAAGTGCCGAGGCTGTCACGATGTCCAGGTACTCGTTCCTGGACAGATCTGCCGTGGACGCCAGGCGCCAGAAAGGCTTTGCGACCTTCGCGGGCTGCACGACAACCTTGGATGTGGATTCAGGCCTGACCAAAACACCCTGAACTGCACCCCAAACCGCAAAGATGCCTAAAGTTCGGTTGCTGGGGTTCAATGGGTTAATGGTGTTGGCACCGGGACCCAGATCAGAGGTCACTTCAGGATGTAATTCCTATTATTATTTTTTATTAGTATTATCATTGTTCATTATCATTGCTATTATTATTATTAGTAGACTGCTAGTAATAGTAGACTAGTAGTCGTAGGAGAAAGAAAAGGAGTAAGGAGTAGGAGTAGGGGTAGGGGTGGTGGTGGTGGTAGTAGTAGTAGTAGTGGTGGTAGTAGTAGTAGTAGTGGTAGTGATTGTTATTGTGGTAGCAGCCGCAGCAGCAGTAGTAGTGGTAGTGACTGGTAGTGGTGGTGGTAGTAGTAGTAGTAGTAGTAGTGGTAGTAGTAGTAGTAGCAGTAGTAGTAGTAGTAGTAGTAGTAGTAGTGGTAGTAGTGGTAGTAAAGGTGGTAGTAAATATGGTAGTAGTAGTAGTAGTAGTAGCAGTAGTAGTAGTAGTAGTAGTAGTAGCAGGAGTAGTAGTAGTAGTAGTAGTAGTAGTAGCAGTAGGAGTAGGAGTAGGAGGAGAAGCAGCAGTAGTAGTAGCAGTAGCAG